GGATGTCTTAAATCTGTGTGAATAAATCTAGTCACAAACAAGTGCATGGTTAACTAAACTGTCTGTCATCTGTTGGATTAAATCACTTCCAGCTATTTCTGTATGAAGAAATGACCACATACGATAGAAGAGCTCTCTTTACCCTCTGATAATCAAGACAATTCTTAGGAAACTGTCTCAAGGTGTTGTCTTTGCATAGCAATTAAATATCAGAGTGGTGCAGCTTACTAATACCAATAATTGAGATTGCAGTGATGCCATGCAGTGGTAAACAGCTTGTTTGCCACCATGCAATCTAAATAAAACAGCAAGTTCTATGACCTTGTGAATGCTGAATGTCATGTTATGGGAAGTATATCTGAACCGTTTTTCCCTAATTTATTGGTAATATTACTGCAGATGTCATATTGTACATCAGTCTTGTTGAGCAGCAGGCTCAGCGGTTGTTCCATACGGTTGTTCCATACGGTTGTTCCATGCGGATCTCTCCTCTTTTCACCTGTCCCTAGGTTTGCATGGCTGTTCAGAAGCCACTGGACCAACTGACTGTACAAGTGCCACCATAAAACACTTGTGTCAAATCTGTGTCTGTAAATGGTGTTTGCAAGTGCTGTACTTCTGTGGTCAGTTCTATCCAGGATTGCTTCTCTATTTATAGAATGGATTTTCATTGAACTATGTAAAAATGAATAGACATGCACATTAGGGTGTGGGCACATACTGGATAACTGCATTTTTGCTTTCTTTTAAAGATGATGTATGATAATCAATACATAAAGAATCTGCTCCAGAAGTAACTCATGTGAGTAGGAGACTTGGGAATTGGAGTATTCGTGTTCAGGTCTCTCATGGTAGTGGTATTCCTAAATCTAGCCTGGCCCCTTTTTTGGTAATGGAGCTCTGGTTTGTGGAAGGGCAGTTTTTGGAGGCGCTGCTGGATTTTCAGGTGGGGTTTGGTGCCCTGCAAGCTGCATCCGTGTTCAGGTACCTCAAGGGGAGAGGAGAAAGAATTGGCAAGAAAACAAGTAACAAATCATTCCCATCTGTGTGGTGAGATTTCCATGTTCTGAGTACACCTGTATGTCCCCATCTTTCTATCTTCAGTCTCTATATGATTCTGTGCTAATAAATTTAAAAATGAAATATATATATATATATTGTTTCTGTGGGAGAGTGAGAAAATTCAATGGAAGTCTACTGTAGTCAGCCATATGGTTAAGCAAATAAGAAAAATACCTGCAACTTCTCTGATTTTCAGAAAGACTTTAGATGCATTCTTCCAACATGAGACTCTCAACAGTTCGGTCAGCCTTAGCTTCCCTCTTGATTTAATGCTGATTATGAAATACTCAGTTTTCATAAGATGATTCTAGACTTTTAAGGAATATGAATGACAAAGCGACTCTTGAATCCCGAGTATTAGGTTGCATGCTGAAAATCTGCCTTTTTTAACATTGCTTTTTCCTCACAATAAATATTAGCCTCTCAAAACATACCACTTTTCTACTGTTAGCAGCAGAAAGGTGTGAACTTTATTAGCTCTGAAAGTTAAATTTGTGCATTGCACGGGGGAGATTTCCTTAGCTTCCGAAGCCCAGTTTGAGGTTTGTATTGCTCTGTCGGAGGTAGCTGTGGGCTCCTTCCTTAGGGGAGGCTGTTGCTCACCTTGCTGCTGCTCTTCTAGCAGGGCTGTTTCTCAGTTTGCAGGGAAACGTTCGTGTCGCGGGAAGGAGAGGGCAACTCTGCATCCTTTTCCCCCTTTGCAGGGTCCTGTCTGCTGACCTGGTGCAGCGAGAGATGCTCGGAGAGGTAAGGCCGGGCAGGGAGGCGCCTGGGTGAGGGACGGAAGGAGCAGCTCGAGTACGTGCTCCATTTCCTTTATTTCTTCTCCTCTCTGTCTCCTCTCCTATTACCCTGGGCTGTTGCAGCTGCTCTGTTGTCCTTCCCAGCCACCCAAGGCGCGTGTGTGTGGGCAGGGGGGACAGTCCTGGTGCAGCCGATCCCTGGGGCTTCCCTGTGCTGGCACCTCTGGGCGCCGGGAGCCATTGGCCGGGCGGGGGGGCGAGCGATT